TAACTAACATCATAAACAGAAGTGTCTGTTGAACCCATACAACTCGTTAATCCGCTTAAGATCATAAATAGGTTAAGTGATGTTATTGACATGCACGACCCACTTAAGCCTAGTGATATATTTTTAAACTTTTAACCTATTTTAACTCTAGATCATATTTAAAAATAAATGTCAGCAAGTAAATGCAAAATTTCTTCAAACGACAAGATTCATAATTAAAATAAAAAAGTAATGCAATAATAAAATTTAAATAGGTTTTAGTCGGAGTATTTATATCTAACACTAAAATTACCTTTTTATTCTTAAATAAACGGGTTACTCGCCTAATCCGCGATACAACGTGTTTATATTCATGTTATAAATGGATAACTCGTTTATGACACGAACTCGTTTAACTTCAACTCTAATTCATTTATTTCGCGTGTTAGGCGAATCGTGTTCGCATGTCGTGACCCGTTTTGACACTCCTAGTATGACATGCATAAAAAAATGTACACACACTATTAATGTATTTTTCAATAATGATAATAATTTTGAGAATTTAACTAATTATATTGAAATAAGAAATTAAGTATTAATTTTGAGAATTTAACTAATTATACCGGACTTGAAATAGAGTAAATTAACGTAATTGCTTTTTATTTTATGATTAATAATTTATTATAAGAAATTAAGTATTTTTTATTTTATGATTATAATTTATTATAAATGATTGTTTATTTATTTGAAATATTAATGTATTATACTTATTTAGTGTAGTGTGTCCCAAACGTGTGGATCACCTACTTTTTAAAAAATTGTCGAATCGCGTACGTGCCCCTATTGCATGATGAAGTGTTTTTTAAATATATTTTTGTATATTTTTTATTAATGAATAAACAGAAAAAATAAGAAGGGACAATTTTTTTTTCGGAAAATTTGTGTCACTTATCTTTTTTGGATATAAAAGAAAAATAAATTTAATTTTTCTCCACAAATTTATTTTTATAGTTTTTTATTTTCCTTCTAATTTGAAGACAAAATTATCGGAATTTTTTGCCTTTATAGTCCTTTCTTATTTCTTAAAAAAAAAAATAGTTTTTGCTTATTAATATTACTTTAGTTTTTTTTTCCTTCTACGTGATATTATCTGAAAATATAATTGCTTTTTTTCCTTTTAATCCACACAATACACAGGGTAATATTAAAAGATGAAATAGTATTTTATAACATCATTGAAAAATAGTAAAATTATATAATAAAATAATAAACTGTAATTAAAAGATGAAATAGTATTTTATAACATCATTGAAAAATAGTAAAATTATATAATAAAATAATAAACTGTATCTTATTGAGATATGCTGAAAATTGCAATGGTAAGATATATCTTCTTAAGTATCATGCGAAACTTTTTATAAGGTATGTAATAGCAAAAGTTATGAATGATATGACCTGTATAAAAATGTATACACGCTATTAATATATTTTTCAATAGTGATAATAATTTTGAAAATTTAACTAATTATATTGAAAATAAGAATTTAAGTATTCTTTTATTTTATGCTTATGATTTATTATAAATGATTATTTTATGCTTATGGATATGATTTATTATTTGAAATATTAATGTATTATTTAGTTAGTGTAATGTGTCCTACGTATATGGATATCCTACTTTTTAAAAATTTTCATATCCATACGTTTTCGTATCTCGTGTCCCATGTCCGTGAAACCTAGCTTCTGGTATATGAGACTACTCCTTACACTAAACTAATCGACTAAGGTTTTTTTTTATTACCAATAAAAATGAAGTGTTTTTTTTAATTTACTTTTGTATCATTGAAATAAGAAATTAAGTATTTTTATTTTATTTTTTATTTTATTTTATGATTTATTATAATGATTGTTTATTTAATAATATTAATGTATTATTTATTTAGTGTACTATATTTTATGCGTGTGGATGTTTTACCTTTTTTAAAAATTATCGTATCTCATTTCCATACAACATAGTTCCTGGTATATGAGACTACTCTATACATCAAGCTAATCAACCAAGATTTTTTAATTACCAATAAAAAATGAAGTGTTTTTTTAATTTGTTTTTGTGTCATTAAGAAATTAAATTTTTTTTATTTTGTGTTCATAATTTATTATAGATTGTTTATTTATTTGAAATATTAATATATTACTTATTTAGTGTATTGTGTCCTAAGCGTGTGAATGTCCTACCTTTTTTAAAAATTACCGTATCTCGTACGTTCTTCTATCCCGTGTCATGTGTTTGTGCAACCTAGCTCCTAGTATATGAGATTACTCTATACACCAAGCCAATCAACTAAGATTTTGTTTTATTACCAATAAAAATAAAGTGGTTTTTTTTCTAATTTGCTTTTGTGTTATTGAAATAAGAAATTTAGTGTTTTTTATTTTATGTTTATTGTAAATGATTATTTATTTATTTGAAATATTAATGTATTACTTATTTAGTGTACTTCGTTTTAAGCGAGTGAATGTCCTACCTTTTTTAAACTTATTGTATCTCGTTCGTTTCGTATCTCGTGTCTCATTTCCGTGCTACTCAGCTTCTAGTATATGAGACTATTTTATACACCAAATTAATCAACCAAGGTTTTTTTGTTTACTACCAATAAAATGAAGTGTTTTTAAATATTTTTTGTGTCATTGAAATAAGAAATTAAGTCTTTTTTTATTTTATGTTTATAATTTATTATAAATTGTTGTTTATTTGTTTATTTAATTTTGAATATTAATGTATTACTTATTTAGTGTAGTGTGTTTGCGTGTGGATGACCTACTTTTTTAAAAAAGTCGTAACCTATACGTTTCCAATGTAATTTTTTAAGTTGTTAATATATTGTTTATTTTAAATAGTATAATGTATTGTTTATTCACACTCTTTTTAACCGTGTGGATTACTTATTAATTATTTTATAAGAAGAAATAAATTTATATTAATATACTAAATGTTAGAAATAATCTTTTTTATAGATATTATCTTCATCGAGAGATTATCTGAAAATATAAAACAACTGATTTTTTACAATTCTTATAATTGTGATAAATTATGTGAATTCTAACATCCGTCATTCTATAATCAAAAATAATGCCAAGTGGTAAACTGTGCTACTTACACTTGACTTCCATATAAAGTAAACGACCCTGCTTTTATATATTATGTAGATAGATATAGATTTTTCAATAGTAATAATAATTTTGAGAATTTAACTAATTATATTAAAATAAGAAATTAAGTAATTAAGTTTTTTTATTTTTTCATTAAATTATTTATTATAAATGGAATCGTTTATTTATTTCATATACATACAATTCCCGTCATCTTTGTTCTCAATCGATAGACTAATTATTTTGTCAATGCAAATTTTATGTAAAGCAAGAAACTTTTGTCGTGAAATTTGCTATTATTTTACCATTCAAGTAATTTCTTCCTTTTTATTGGTCTATAATTATGGCTTATTTTGGTTTACCATTAGACTTTTTTTTTTTTTTGTGTAAATTCATAATATCCGGTACCCTGCTTTTTATATATATGTAGATAGATATAGATTTTTCAATAGTAATAATAATTTAAGAATAGATATAGATTTTTCAATAGTAATAATAATTTTAAGAATTTAACTAATTATATTAAAATAAGAAATTAAGTATTTTTTTATTTTTTATTAATTATTTATTATAAATGATCGTTTATTTATTATCATATCCCATACATTCCCGTATCTTGTGTCTCAATCGATAGACTAATTATTTTGTCATGCAAATTTTTGTAAGCAAAGAAACTTTTGTCGTGAATTTGCTATTAAATTTACCATTCAAGTAATTTCTTCTTTTTATTGGTCTATAATTATGGCTTATTTGGTTTACCATTAAGACTTTTTTTTTTTTTGTGTGTAAATCACTAATATCCGGACCCTATTACCAGGAACCACAACTCATAGGTGGTTTACCATTAAGACTTTACCATTTATTGACTCGCACTTACCAATAGGGATTAAATTTAGATCAGATTATACAAAATCCATATTCAATCCGTGAAGATTTTCATATATTCATATTTACATCTGCTCCGCTCGGATTTGGATCCGGTCGAATCGGATATTATCTATTTTTTATTATGTTTAAAAGAAAACCAAAATAGAATAATAATTTAATAAAAATGCATATTATGTTTTATGTTTGAAAACACAAAAATTCCTAACAATAATTGGAAATATTATATGCTATGACAACTAGTAGAGACTTTAATAATTGTTAAGCTCAAAAAAATTCAGACTAATGGTTGTAATGTTTAAATTCATATTCTTTTGTTTGAGGTAGAGATTAAAAAAAATACAAAAAAAGTAAAAAAGTTGAAGATAATGATTTAGAATATAAATGAAAAAGAAAGAAGGAATAGAAAAATAAAGGCAAAGACACATCTAGAATTACGATCACCAAGTTTAGACATATAACAAAAAGGCAAAATTACCTTTCACGGATTAGATTCAAATCAGATTATTCTATATCTATATCCGACTCATATTCGCGTTGTGTTTTATTTTAAAATCCATATCCGATCCACCACTAAATGGATCAGATTTTATCTATTTCATTCAGATCGAATCGGACCGGATATCCAATGGAGCTGATCATTTGATCATCCCTACTTACAAATTAAGTAAAATTAAATCAACTAACCCAACTCATGTGCAGCCCTCCGCAGATTCCTAACAATGCATTTGACATCTTTCTATATCCCAAGAGTAAGGAAAGAAGTCTCAAAATTTGGAAGTTATGTTCTCTAATCCTTCATTTGAATTACTCTCACTTCACCTTTCCAAGCACAATATGACGCATTTTAGCAAATGGAAAAAGAAAATGCGAGTTCCTGAAGAGAAAAGAAGCAACAAAGACCTAAATTTTTCTATCAAAGGCCTCAATCTTGGGTAGACAAGTTAGATGTTCCGTATTTCATTCACAAATTCGTTCAACGAAGGTTTTTTCTAAAACAGCTTCAGTCATCGTGAGTTCTTCATTTTATATAAGAACAAAAAGTTAAAGTCTACACTTCCAGAAGTGACACATAAAATGAAAATAGAACATTTTCAAGTAAATATTTCTAAACTTATACATTCCTTTGTGTATGTATCACATATAGCAAGTACTGTTTGAAAGTCCAAGTCTTAAATCATGAGAACAGGAAGCGAAAGGTACTCTGATAGTTTCAAGATATTTTAGTGATGTGTTACCTGGAAAGTTACTGGCCTGTGAGGCTTCGGAGCTGGAAAGGCAAGCAACGATACATTAGTCTAGAGTCAACTCTAAAGCAAAGGACCAAAATTGAAGAAACCATCAAAAGAAATTATAACAGCCTTAGGTTTAGTCATGTCATTTGCACACAAACACGGAATTACATCCACCACTGCATAGCAGAATTCTAAAACTAATCCAACACACTAACGGATATATCATTATATAAGAACATTTTGTATTCGTCCTTTCTGCGCTCCCAAGATTCATTCGTTTTTATTAGGAACAGTTCTCTAACTTGGTTTATTCTTCACAGCCTTTAATATTTGGGTTTTGCTATAAAATAAGTTTGTTTCCACTGTTGGTGTTAGTTTTTCCCAATGTAAATGCCAGTTGGAATCTTTTTATGTCTATTTTGTCAATGTTATGTATGATATCTGTAAACTTATCTTTTCTTGATGGATGTCTAGATGATGCCCTTTAATGTTGGGACAGGTTGACGTGGATAAGCTAAAATTGATTAAGGCCCAGGTTGACGTGGATAAGCTAAAATTGATTAAGGCCAAGTTGCATTCGTATTATTGGGGTTAGAGCTTTAAACTTGGAACACAAATGGCAAGAGACTTTCTTCACATTTTCCCGATTCACCATAACCAGAAAGAATTCAGTTCAGATGTAGGGTACCTATCCAGAAGTTTTTGCAACTTGTTTGACGGAATCACCAAACAGATTTGACCTTTCCGAACTCTAATAAACAGATTTGACCTTTCCGAACTCTAATATCTACTGTTTCACATACTAGCTTATGTTGATGGATTTGCAGTATAAAGCATTTGCTCATAAAGTAGATCATTATAAGCAACCATTGTATACTAAAAATCCACCAAACAAAACTGGTATATGAAACAATAAATATCAGTTCTGAATCCAAAATATATGAAGAAAGCTTACTCACCCTTTCTGGTCTGAGTTTAAGCTAGGAAGCCCAAAAATATAAATACAACTTCCGCTTCATCAATTTTAATTGCCCACATTGAGCTAATTAGTTAACCATTATTTTTCCCCTCACTACTAAAATATTAGAGGTCCAAATACACATTCAAATACACGGGTTATACCTTAATAAAGAAGTGGGAACCAATTATTTAGCCAAGTTGTTGAATTTTGTCTTTACGGCTTTCATGTTATGATTCTTCACAAGAAAACAAAAGTTGCAATTGGAGAATCATGCTAGTCTCTAACAATCTTTCTAAGCATGTTTGCATGAGTTATGGATATGGAAACAGAAACACTTCAGCATCTTTTATATCAAAAATAAAATTCATCATTTTGAAGATATATCTGGAAATAATAGCCATTTCTCCAGATATCCGGCAAGTACTTTTTGGAACGAGCTCACAAGAAGCATTGCCTTTTTTCAGTTTTTTACTTGCTACCTTTTCTTAAATTTTACCATCCAACAGAATGCCTAACAAGCATTTCCAAAATCTAACTCAAAAGAATACTCTCTTCCCTCCATTCCAATATATCAATATTATTATTATATATATTATATTACTCTTTTGTTTGATTTGCTTCTAAAAAAGGGAGTTAGCACGTCCTAGGATGTTTTCAAACAGAGCTTGACTATTGAACTCACTTACCATTAGGGTTCCCTTGTTTATAGAAACATCGTAAAAGCGAAACTGCCTCAGATGCCATTACTCCTCTAGTACATTTGAAACCCTTCCATTGAGCAGCTTCCTCTCTATCAAACATATAGAATATGTTAAACATGCCCTAAATTGCACAATGCACATAAATGGAAGACGCAATTTAAATTAAATATCCACTAATTAAATGAAAGTGTTTGAGGATTTGGAATTCTTGATGATTTGTATTGATGTACAAGACCCTTTAAATAGGGAAAATACAAACAGAATATGGAAAGGAATTGCAGAGATTAATTACAGGAAATTAATTGTAAGAAAATTAATTGTATCTGTTCCTAAATCCAGAGGAATGGATCTGTGGGATATAATCCGGCTAAGACTCCCCCGCAGTTTGGGCGGGCGGAGGACAGACGCTCAAGCTGGATCGAAATGAACTAGAACAACTGTCGAGATAGGCCTTTGGTGAAGATGTCAGCATATTGAAAGCAGATGGGCACATGTGAGACCAAATCCCGAATGTGGCCTATTCGAACTTTCTCCCGTACAAAGTGTATGTCGATCTCAATGTGTTTTGTGCGTTGATGCTGGACAGGATTGTCAGACATATACACTGCTGAAACATTGTCACAGTATACGACGGAGGCCTGCTGAAGTGGGAGGTGTAATTCCAGAAGTAAATTGCGAAGCCAGGTGGTCTCTGCAACTGCAACAGCATTGGCTACTCCTCTATATTCTGCCTCTGCACTAGATCGTGAGATAGTAGGCTGCCGTTTTGAAGACCATGAAATCAAATTATCACCAAGGAAAACACAGTAGCCACTAGTTGATCTTCTGGAGTCTGGGCACCCACCCTAATCTGCGTCTGAGTATGCTACCAAGGTATGTGTATTATTTGTCTTGCCAATTCTTATACCGTAGTCAACTGTACCTTGTAAATATCGGATTATTCTTTTGAGAAAGGCATAGTGTGGATCCCGCGGTTCATTCATGCATGAAGAGGCATATTTGTTGAACAGCATATGATATATCTGGGCGTGTGAATGTGAGATACTGTAATGCGCCAGCAAGACTGCGGTATAATGTTGGATCATGGAATAGAGGTCCATCAGAAGCACTCAGTTTTGATGATAGATCAACTGGGGTGGCACATGGTTTGCAAGAGGACATTGAAGCTCTGGAGATGATATCCTTTGTGTATTGAGACTGATCCAAAAATAACCCACTAGATGTCCGTGTCACTTTGATTCCCAGGAAATGATGCACCCGGCCCAAATCTGTCATTGCAAACTCGCGTGAGAGCACGCGGATAATATTCTGTAATAACTCATTAGAAGAGGCAGTGGGCACTATATCATCAACATACAGAAGTAAATAAGCAAGCTGATTTCCCTTTGAGAAAATGAATAGGGAATTGTCACACACACTGCTGCGAAACCCATGAGACAGCAGATGGGTTGCAAATCTGGTGTACCACGCCCGTGGCGCCTGTTTGAGCCCATAAAGGGATTTTTTCAATCTGCACACAAAATTTTTTCAATCTGCACACAAAATGAGGGTATCTTCTATCTGTGAAACCCAGGGGTTGATGCATAAAAACAGTTTCATTTAAATGCCCATGTAAAAACGCATTTTTGACATCCAACTGGTGTATTGGCCAAGAACGGGAAACTGCAATGGATAGCACAGTCCGTATAGTAGCGGGTTTCACTACGGGACTAAAAGTATCGCCACAGTCAATGCCCACCGTTTGAGATTTGCCATTTACCACCAAACGTGCTTTGTACCTTTGAAGTGACCCATCTGATTTAAATTTGTGACGAAAAAGCCACATACACCGAATGACCGATCGGGGTCAAGAGGGCGAGGCACGAGTTCCCATGTATCATTTTCTTGCAAAGCACGAAACTCAGCCTGCATAGCATTTAACCAATGAGGGTCAGAAAAAGCTTTTACATAAGAGGTGGGTATTGGTGAAATTGAGGTGGTCATAAGGGCATGGCGAGCTTTGGAGCGGGTGGTCATTGGATGGGTATTCTGTGCGGGTTTTGATACAGCAGTGGTCTGAGTGTTGGGATTTTGTGAGACAGGTGCAGCAGTGTGTTGGGGTGCCGTAGCATTGGCCACTGGGCAGTGTGTTGGGGTGTCGTAGCATTGGCCACTGGGTTAAGGGGCTGTTGTTTATGGCGGCGAGTGTATATTATGGGGTAAGGAGAGATTGGGCGTTTTTGGGTTTGGGTGGTGTTTGGTGTTGGGTGAGGTTGTATAAACTTAAATCCTGGTGGTGGTTGTTCATCAAGAAATGTGTATGTTTTGGGTGGAGTTGGAATGGTGTATGGGAAAATTTGTTTATCAAAGGTTACATGTCGTGATATGTGGATCTTCCCGGTTGTAGGGTCAAAGCATCGGTATCCCCTAAAATCTGGAGGGTATCCAAGGAAGATGCATCTAACGGATCTTGGGTGTAATTTGTGGGGTTGGGTTGCAGAGGTATTGGGATAACAAGCACACCCGAACACGTAAGGTGATCGTATGTTCGGGTGGCGAGAATTATAAGGCAAAGTGGGTGTGGAAATAATTGATGACGTTTGGTTGGAAGGGATGTTATGGAGATAGGGCAAGCAGTGTGAAGTCAAAACATAGGTGGTAATTGAGCATGGATGAGGAGTGAGCGGATGATGTCGTTGAGACGACGAATCATGCGTTCAGCCCGACCATTTTGGGAAGATGTTTGGGGGCATGAAAAATGGAATAACAGACCATGTTGTTGGGCAAAAATTTTGAAGTTATGGTTGTCAAATTCTCCCCCCAAGTCACATTGAAAAGTTTTGATATTGCGGTTGAATTGGGTGGCTATGAGTTTATGGAATTTAGTAAAGGTGGTGAAAGTTTCAGATTTGAACTTGAGAGGGTATACCCACACATAATTGGAAAAATTTGGAAAAAATTATCATTAGCACCATGGTAGTATTTATATTCCAGATTTGGTTGGAATAGGGGAGGTTCCACAAGTCACAGTGTATTATATCAAATGGTGAAAAAGTAAAGGAATTTGATCTCATAAAAAGGGTAAATCGTTTGCTATTAGATAAATGACAAGAATTGCAAAAAAAATTAAAATGCCTTGTTTCTTATTACAAGAAAGCCAAACTGTTTGGTTACGAAACATCTAACACTTGTGTGGGCCAAGGGGTTGACCGAGGCGATCCGCTGCTAAGGTAAATTTGGAGTGTGATTGAACAGCTTGTGATGGTAGGGTTGGTGGAATGTGACAGGATAGAGATCTCGGTACTAATTGTGGCAGAAAGGAGCTGTCCCGTTTTTGAGGTCCTTTCAAAGAAGAAAACCAAAAAGGGTCAAAATTTCACGAATATTGTTATAAAACGTGTAAAACGGCGGAGCAAGATAATTTTTTAATGATCTGTGGCACTGTAAAGTTGTTTGGGGGATGTATGTTACGGTCTAAGGGATGGGAAGGTACCTGTTCCTGAGCCTCAATTGGTAAATAGTGTCCGTTGCGACTAAAAGTTTAGTTGTTAACAGGAAAAAGAGTCAGGGTTGCGAATCATATCCTCGTTAGTCGGTGACAATGGACCGTTCTGCCGCCTTGTATCCATGATCATGTTTGGATCTGTGTAGTTTGAGTTTGCATCGTGTTATAACTTGGCTAGATCGGAAGGACTTAAAGCATCATATCCAGTATGCGGTTGGAGGGGATATGTGTGGTGCTGGGCCGTATGGCTGCTGTTCTGAATAAGCGGCATAATGGGGCAGTGGGGTGTTTTTGAATTCTGATTTGGTTGGCCATGGAGTTTGTGTTGGTAGTGGAAAGGTGGGGTGTTGCCACCAAGCCCCATTATGGGTAGTTTCGAAATGGGTCTTTCTGTTTTGTGGTCATGTTCCTATCGGCGTGGCAGCAGCTAAAAAATGTGAGAGAGAAAGGAGAGGGAGGGAATAATTTTCAGAACGAGCCTCTGCATGACCCATGAAAGTGTTTGAGGATTTTGGATTCTTGACTGATTTGTATTGATGTTATTGATGTACAAGACCCTTTAAATAGGGAAAATACAAACAGAATATGGAAAGGAATTGCAGAGATTAATTACAGGAAATTAATTGTAATCTGTTCCTAAATCAGAGGAATGATCTGTGGAGATATCATCGGCTAAGATTAAAGTGAGGATCCCTGCATCAGGAACTGGACAATCAAGTTTTATACAACTACTACGTTATGTTATTCGTTTCATAACAATTTGAAACCAAGGAAGTGATTTATATATTGCCATGGCTTATGATGAAACTCTGGATAAAATTTGTATAATAACAGTGGTTGAAGATATAATAAACAACATATCAATTTACTGCTAAATGCATATGATATTATCCGAGAAGATGGAAAAAGTTAAAGAGTGAAACTTTATTTTTTTTTTTTTAAGAAAAAAAGAGAGAAACAACAATATAAAGTGGAATAGGTAAAGAAAAAGAGTAAGAGAGAGAAAGAGAATGGATGTCCAAATGTAATTTAATCATCCATTTTAATTTTTTTGACAAAAGATTCCAGATAAATGCATTTAATTGAAAAAAGATTGTATGTCCAAACATTTAATTGATAAATAATAATAATAATAATAATAATAACGTTAACACACTAAAAGAAAAAAAAAATTGACACAGTTCAAACATCATGATAATAATTAACCCAAACGAAAAATAGAAATGAACCTAATAAGTGGCTGATAGTTGCCAGAATGCAGTGACAATATTGATCCACAGCCTCCAAATTTATCATTTGCACATCCATAATACACTTCCTTTATACCTAAGCAAGTGAACAACTGAAGTCAAAAATTATCAATTAGATTAATAAATAAAGCTCTGATAGATTTAAAAGAATTAGAAAAGTGTTATTTGAAAACAAGAGGATACCAAGGATAGACAAAGCTGCAGCACACATTATACATGGTTCACATGTAACATAAAGAGTACATTTTGAAAATTTTTCAGCAACTTCTGAAGTTGAAAGTCCACTTTTTTGCCACTGCTCAAGAAGAACATCGATTGCTTCCATCTCTGCATGTCTTGTGGCCTACGACAAGAAATTAAAGTAGAAACTAAATTGCAAAAGCTTTAGAGTACCTATCCGAATGCTCTTCTGATTTCTACCTTGTTGTTGTTTGATACAAATTTTAAATTATATTGCAATTCAAGGATCAGCATAGTTGAGCAGCGGTGAATAAAGGTGAGATTAGTTACAAACATCCAAGTAGCTATTAAATTACAAGGTGGTAGCTCATTATGTAGTAGATGGTTTCTGAAAAACAATTCACATGCACAAAACTAACATGGCATAGTTGTGTTGCACTTGAACAAAGGTGAGATTAGTTATAGACATCCAATTAGCTATTAAGCATAGTTGTGTTGCACTTGAACAAAGTGAGAATTAGTTTAGACAATCAATTAAGCTATTAAAATTAACGAGGGTACTGCTAGCCTTATTAAAATTACGAGGTAACTGGCTACGCTCATTATATATTAGATGATTTCTGGAACAAGCCAACTCAATGCAAAATAAATAAAATTAGAGGGACCTCGATATGATTAAACTATACAATAGAATAATATCATAAAAGCAGGTTAGAAGAGTAAACCAAGGTGAAAATATTTGATGCATTGATTAACTTACATTTCTTGTCTCTGTTGTTCGATTTCTTCCAGATGCAATGACTATGCCACCTTCAACAATCACACAACTGGTCAATGAAAAAATAGTTTTAGTGATGAAGGATCTGACTAAATAATAATGCAGATTTTAAGTAAAAGAATCAATCTTTTTTCTGGAAGGAAAAGTGTAATCTGCAAAAATTGATTAGGTTAACTGAAGAAGCCTAAATTTCTAGGGAGCACAGCAATGTTGATTAATAATTGCAGTATGTTTCAGGACATATGACAATATATGTATATGCAAATTTAGTTCATTTTCGACATCTGAACTGCACATCAATATTGATGGACATCATCTTGTGAAAGAATGTCAATCCTGATTCTAATGCAGGGGTAATTCACCAAATTAGGTTATAAATCCTTAGCAAGTAAAGCCAAAAACCAGCCAACAAAACACCAGCAGGTCTTGTTTAAAGTTGCCCAGGGTTCAACTGAGGCAGAATAAGCAGGGTCTCAATTAAATTCCTCAGTCAATCCTGGCTCACGGCTCACCCTCATGTGAGCACATAAAAATTAGCAACGAATTTTTTGATAGCAAGAAACCAACATTTTAAAGAACATAACTCAAACTAAGCAAACAGAGTTTTAGCAACAGCTGGGTTGAGCATTATCCTAATATAATTGAAAATTTGACTAATGAAATTAAGTTATTTCAATTAAATCAAATGTTTTTTACCTATTACTCATACATATTGTTACTTCTGTATGAACTATGACAAGGACTAGGTTTGTCCAGGCAAGGCATATGTCAATTATACCCTAAATTGCTGAAATGATATATTTTAACTGAAAATATGGAGTGGTCTATGCAAAAATAAATTGTATTACCATTTATTTTCCTCCCATTTCATTAGAGCACTGAGAGGTCACTTCCCCTAATGCAAGAGGACTTGGAAGGATCCCCATCCAATGTACCAGTTATTGTGCCCACGATAAACGCCACAAGCCAAGTGCGGAGCAGATAACTACTAAAAGCATCTAAGTAGTAAGCTCACCCTGAGGTGAGTATTCTTTACTGACTTACCCACAACCTTCAGTAAAGGATAAAACTAACAGCAATTCAGAAAATACAAAAAAATACAAGAACTTAACTAACCATAAGCCAGCAGAAAAACTGAAGAGTCAGGTTACTCCCAATTAACTGAAGCCTATTCTTATCCTGTCTTGGATTCCCTAACTGCCTTGACATATTTGAGTTCTTTTCATAATTAACATAGCATTCAAATCTCTTCCATCAGGCTTCTTTAAATTTCAAATCTCTTCATGTTCTTACTTGCTAAAAAACTTGATTCATTATTCTATCTTCTTTTATTTACTCTTCTGACTTCTTTTTGACAACCTTACAACTTTATTTCCTTGTCATCACAAATCATGACTTCTTTTTGACAACCTTACAACTTTATTTCCTTGTCATCACAAATCATGAATGGAACATTCAAACTCTTCCTAATATCCTTTATATTCTTAAACAGATACTTTCAGATTAGCTCAGAATTGAAATCATTTTTTTTCTTGGAGAAAAGAAAATTCATTTAGGTGCACCCATTTATATCAACGTCCTCTACTAGCCGTTTTGCATTTCCCTGATTTCTCCTTCATTAATCATTTGAACCTCTACCAAGGGAAAAATAATACATGCTCAATCATTTTATAATCAAGTTGTGTACTTAAGGTTTCAGAAGTTTGCAATCCTGCTACACGTACTCGCTAGAAGTTTTGGTTGCCTAGTGAAGTAGAATTATTTGTTAAGTCATTGTGAAAATGAAATTAAAAGCTACAAGAATGCAACAATTTCGAATTTTCTTAAGTTACATTTCAATTGCTTCTAGCTAGTTTAGGATTAAGGCTTAGTTCTAGTTGTTGTTGTACATTTTAATTGCTTCCCAAGCAGAATTTGCGTTAAATTTTATGATAACTGGAATGCAAGATCATCCTCTGTTTACTTCTAAATATAACTTCAGAAAAATGATGTTATATCAAAAATTAGGTAAAGTGCAATTGCAAATGGTAAAATAAAATAAATTCTGTAAATAAAACCTCAAACACCTTATGCCCCTTTCCCTCTCTCTTCTCCCCCCTCCTCCAGAAAAAAAAAATATATATATATAATATATATATATAGTGACATAATTTAGAAGAGCTTACCCCACTGGCACTTCAAGACAATCCAAGGCATGTTTTGCCTGTCATATGACCAACAAATAATATACCAAAGAGTCACAAGTCAAAAAGCCGACACAAAATTGAAATTGAAATGTGTTGACAGAACCAGCAAACATATAATTCATTTTAAGCAGAAACAATCTCGACATGTCTGAAGCAGAAAACCATATGGCAACTACAGAACGTTAGAGCCCATCTAATGCAGAGGAAAAATATTTTCCCCTGTCCAGTTCAGAAATATTAGTTAGCAGACACTTTGTCTTTTCAAAGACACCTAGATATGGATTTACTGTTTTAGTTTCCTGATCCATTAAATAAGATGATCAGAGTATGAAACTCAAACAAAGAGGCTATCTTTTAACCATTCACTCTACATTTGCTCAAAAAGGCTACTGTTACATTCAGGTAAGAGGTATTGATGTTATCTCTACTTATGCTTTAAGGCATTAATGATTGTAAGATTATTGAAAGCTTTTAGAAACTGGTTATCAAACTATCTGCATGGCAAAATAAATACACGTTATTAAGTAGCATATACATATTTCAGCATCAAATCTCCTAACGTAGGTTGACCTAAAAAAATGTTAGGGAAACTACAAGAATGTTTGCCTCCCAAAAGGCAACCACCAATTTCTATTGAAAAACTATTTTCTTTTATTTCTTGTGGCAATTGGTAAGTGCCAATGCCCTGGGCACCACAATTGATGCGATACCCAAATACCAATGATTTGCTAAAAGTCACAGATGGAAACTGTTGACATTTGGTAATTTCTAACTCAGTAGCACTTCCAACTAGTGTGTCAGCTATTTTCATCTCAGTAGCAACCACTGGCCAGTGGCCACAGACTACAGGAGTTAATTGCAAAGTCAGTAGCATTTGCTAGTAGGGGCCACAATAATCAAATCCAAATACTCCTCGAAAAGACCTTATGAAATTTTCAAATGAATTAATAAATTACAGAAATTAGAATTTGAGAATCAAAATGTAACAAAGTTATGTGTGCGTGTGCCCCTCCACCCACTCCTTGCAGCTCAACCCGATACAAGAACACAAAACAAATTCACATAACATCTCAACTCGTGAACAAATATTTTGTTACAAATTCACATGTAAAATGAACCTCTATTAACTGCAATTAGAAATACAGTTTGCGACTTGCACGTTCTCTTATGGATAAGATAAGAATGAAGGATGCTGTAAGCATCTACAGAAAACAGCTGGGAACATTTAATGTACCGAAAGTAAAAACTAAATGGAGATAGAACATAATGCCATAAGAAAGCCTTCACTATTTTGCCTAATTTAATCTTCTTATTGATAGAAGGTCCATGGATTACCTGTTCCATTGCAAGCTCCATAAATGCAAGACTCTTCTGTGAAGACGATTCCCTTTGAACTTGAACTTCCATCTGTCATATGCACAAAAAGAATAAGAATAAGAAAAACAAAAAGACAAAGTGATGAATACAGTTCACCTCTCTTAACTTCCATACTTTCTAAAATTTTAATAACCATAACTCTGTTGCTTCTCTAATAGTTAAACTTACGGCAAAATTTCATTACTAGAGAACAGTCTGAGTATACTTACCGTTGATGAAGATGAGAAGGAAGGAGAATGAGACAGAGTTGCCGCCAATAACGGAGGAAGAGGAGTAGTAGACCGCGTTTGCGGCTCCACGAATAGCGAAACAAGAGAGATCACTGTGGTGTTTAAGCCTGTCAAAACTAACTAACGGAGGAAAGAGGAGTACGTAGCCCGGTTTGCGGCCTCCACGAATAGCGAAACCAAGAGAGATCCCTGTGGTTGTTTAAGCTGTTCAAAACTCACCCTCTCATATCATTCTCCATCTAATTTCTCTTCTGTCCGTTAAAGCTGCTTTGAAAAAAAAAATAAAAAGCGCTAATGTTGAATGATCGATTCGTTTGGATAAGAAAAGACGAGAGTGAAGTTGTTGAGCCCATATTTGGGCTTCTATGAAGTCCATAAAATTTATTCAGGGCCCATAAAATTGTTTAATTTGGCTTAGTAAATTGAAAACTCAATTTATGCTATGTTTGAAAAGATGGACAACGTAAAATAAGAATACAAAATTATATTATTCACTTCTCAGTGAAAATTAGGCTATAAAAATATGTAAAATAAATTTACGTTGCACCGTCCTTAACATTTTCACTCAAACCAAGTAAAAGATTTTAAAAATCGTAAAATATTTTCACATTTTATTTTACATCTACTCATATTTTACGTCATCCAAACAAAGTATAAATATTTTAATTTAATTAAATAATTAATAAAAGAGTTGTGGATAAATTAAAAAATATAAAAGAAAAGAGATATCGGTTTCTTTATAAAGTGATGCAAGCACTTTCTCAAGTATCCTATGAAAAATAACACAATAAAAAAGCAACACAAACAAGACAAATTTCTTTAATTTCAATTTATTATCTTCATTTAAATTTTCAACCCTTGTTAATTTTATTTTCAAATTCCAACCATATTAATCTAATTATGCTTTGAATTTAATCTTAATTCCCTTGTTATCAGTATTCATAGCTTCCTTTTGAATTTTGTAATACATACAATTTCCCTTAAATTTCACTAATACTACCCTTAATTTTGTAATTTCAATTACAACATTTGTTGTTCTCTTAATAAGTTTTATAGGCTGTTTAGAAAGAAAGTTCAGAATTTTTTAACTGAAGGAATCGAAGATAGTTAAATAAATTGATTTCTCATAATATCTATAGTTATTTTCTAAAAACTTGAAATTGCACTTACTTACTATTTTTCTTCTATTTTCTCTCTCGTTCGTTTTCTTCTATTCTTTTTCTACCCTAATTGCAAGCTGAATTTTCTTCTATTCTTTTTCTACCCTAATTGCAAGCTGAATTAAGTTATTAAATTAACACTCTGTTTGGATGGATTTATTCTTTTGAAGGAATTAAAATAGTTGAGGAAAACAATTGTGGAAAGCAATTTTACCTTATTTGGAAAAGAAGGAAAAATAATGAAGGAAAAATTAATTTATTTTCCTCCCTATCTCACATAAATAGAATCTCTTCGTTTGGAAGAGAAAATAATGATGGAATGTTGAAGTTTCTCCAATTTTTATGTAATTATCCAAACTACTTTTAATTAAATATTGAAGTTATATGATCATCAAGCCCTCTAAAAGGATAAATGAGGTTAAAATGGTAATATATTAATATTAACAATTTTTTCCTCTAAAATTTTGCCTTTTCCAAACAAAGGAAAATAAATTTTTTTTTTTTTCTTCATTACCAAGCACAAGGGTGAAAAATGACAATGAAAAGAAAATTAACAATTCATCTTATTTTGATTCCTCTTCTTTCCAAACAGAGTGTAACGCTTTTTGATGGTAAACATTTATTGTCCTTTTTTGATTATGATCAAAGTGAGCCTCCAATTCTTCAATAAGAGATGAAAGTTATGCTATTCGCAATTAATTAATTCATTTCTATTAAGGCAATCTTTCTCTTCTTAACTCCTAAGTCCTAACAGTGTAGTAGAAAGTAAGATTAGCTGATTTAGGATTTTAATAGTTGTCTATAAAATGTTAATAATTAAAATTTAAATATTATTAATAGAAACAATATTTTTCAAAACACTATATGAGTTTACACACTTGCGGAAAGAGTTCATAATTAGTTAAATTAATTGATTTTCATTCAAAAACAAATCAAATTAATTGATTTGCTTATCGCTATGTATTGGAAAAAAAAAAAAAAACTAAAAGGGTATTAGACATTTACATCGCTATGTATTGGAAAAAAAAAAAAAAACTAAAAGGGTATTAGACATTTACTTATTTCGAACAAAATGCAATAATAATAGTTAGTTATTTAAAAATTAACGTTTGCATTGTGCAAGTTTCTCTCTTACTCTATGCAAGTTTTAGGGTTTTCTTTTTAGGGTTTTGTCTTTTTTCGCATCTAGGGCGTTTTTGCTTTCTGCTCTTCGACGTTGCTATGGATTCTACATTACAACAACTCGCTAGCATGGCTATGGACGATGACGAGATGCCGGTCCAACAGTCTCTAACCCTAGTTATCTTGGTGGAGTCGGACTTTTGCATGGTTGGGCGATTACTTATGGGTCGCAATATTAATTTCCCTGCAATAAGGAACACATGGCTACCCTTCAGCAGCCTAGTTGGGGAATATGCATTGAGGATTTAGGGCACGTGTTTTTTATTCAGTTTTTTCATATCTTGGAATTTTGATGGGTTAGAGACAGAGGACTATGGTCGTTCAACAACAATATGTTGTTACTCCATCCACTTCAAAAGGGTGAGGATCATTCCTTAGTTAAGTTTCATTCGGTGGACTTCTGGATACAGGTTCACGTTCACGATATTCCGATAGTACTCCTATCTAAATCAGTTGCAACTCAGTTGGGCAACTTTAGTGAACAATTTAGGGAATAACTTTAGTGAACAATTTAGGGAATATGACGCTAATATAATATCTAGTTTTTGGAGATCCTATATGCGATTTCGGTTTTCTGCAGACGTGAGGTACCCATTAAAACGTTAGAAAAAGCTTCACCTGAGGTGGGAGAGTTGTTACTATGACTTTTAAATATGAGAAGCTCCCTAACTTCTGTTTTAGTTGTGGATGTCTAAGTCACACGGACTCTTTTTGTGAATTGCTCTTTGCTAATCCGACTAGAAAATTCACTAAGCGTGGGGTACTTGGTTAAGGGCCACTGGTAGGGCGGGTAACAATTTCGGTGATCGGTTTCGAAGGACTAGGGCAGGGTCCATGTTTTCTCCTATGCTTGCATCATTGAATTCTTCTGTTCCTCAGCAGGAATCTTCTAACAGAAGAGGAATGGAGGACTTGCAAAATAAGCAAGTTGTTCC